TAAACCCTTGGGGAATCATTTTTGTCAACCCTACCTTGGTGGGGAATAGCTGGCATGTTAAAAATAATCCAAAGAGTATTTCGAGCGCCTTTTTCCTTTTCCCCGCCCCATCTGTACCAACAAAGTAGCTCCCTTTTAAAAGAGGATTATTGCCAAGAGTATAACTGATTACAACCCCTCCTTTACTTTTAGTGGGGGGTTCCCTTCTTAATTGTAGGTCAGTTGGTGGAAATTTGGGCGTTAATCCGAAAAAAGCATACTATTTCTGGTTAAAGGGCTGTTTTCAACCTTTTTTCAATTTTTTTATCATGCCCCCCTTTTCACCCCTTTAAACATTTTTTAGTTTATTTTTAAATGGGGTTTTTTAAATAGTTACTGTAACTTTAATAAACAGAATAGAGGAAAAAACGCTTTAATATACATTTTTTTGCATGTAGTTGGAGAAACTGGTCGTTTAAGGGCCGAGTTTGGGCCCGGTTAAAAAGTACATTGCTAAATGAGGGGCCCATTATCCCACCTTCCTTGCCCCCAAAATAAAATTAAACAATTTTAAAATATCCTTTAGGCTCATTTGGGTAAAGGGATCAGTAAGTAAACCCTAGCAAAAAAAATAACACCCGAGAGTGCTCAAAGATAATCTTGTGCCCCTTTTAGTCTTTTTCCAAAATTTCAAAACATCAAAAATAAATATTGCCCATTTTAAAAAAACAGGGGCGGAGTGAGTGAGAAAGTTTTTTTTTTTTAAAGGGTCACTGTGCCTGTGTGAAAAGGTTTTTATGTGTTAAAAAAAAAAACACTGAAATTACCACAATGGGAAAATGAAAATCCATGACAATGTTGGGCCCAAAAAGACTAGAAAAAAAAAGATTGGTCCTTAATACCCAGAGGGAAATAGCATAAAAATGTAGTCTTGGTTTAACCCAAACAATAAAGAAAAAATTTATTATGGCCCAACAAAAAATTTTGTGAAAAATAAGGGGCTGTTTAAAAATCTGGGGAAAAATCTCATACTGGGGTTTAGTATCCCAAAAAACCCAAAAAATTATACTATGCCAAAAAAATAAAAGTGAGGGTTTTTTAATTGTGGGTTTAAAACAAACATGGCTGCAAAAAAGTAATAAACCAAATGAAATGCCCGTATAAAAACACTGAAATAATAAACTAACTTAAAAATTTTTTGGGAAAAATTTAAAAAAATTTTTTTTTCTTCAAGTACCGGGTACAACTTAACGGATTAAACTTAGCTTGCAAAAAACCCAATCTCTCAGACCAAGTTAGAGATTCCTTCATTTATAAATTTCCCAAGCTCGAACCTATCACCCCCCCGGGGGTCAATGGAAAGGTTTTTCCTTTAAAGAATGTGAGGGCCTTACAATTGGGAAAAAAATTTTGATCGGTTTTTTCCCTTTAAACGAAACTGATTCCTCCCATTCCCTTTTGGCATTTTTATAAAACCCCCTTTGGGGTTTTGGGGCTTTTCCCCCCAAGGGAAAAAAAGGGAAATACTGTCATTTATGAAACAGCTGTTTTTTGTGGTATCAAATTTAACAATGCCTAAACTGTAAATTTGGGAAAACCAATCAGAAAAAGGGAAATTTAAAAAATTTGGGGCATGGAAACTTTGTTTAAGGAGCACCTCGTTAATAAAAAGGGGGTTTTGTTGGGAGACCACCGCTGTAAAGCCAGTAAATATCCTTTTAAAAAATGAAAATTTGGCTTTTTTTTTCCCCCTTGCCATGAATATAAAAACCAAAAAAATGTTTAAAAGGGGTTTTTTAATGCAATAGTGCTACCTAAAAGCTTTGTCAGTTGAATTTTTTTTAAAACCCTCACTGTTTTAAAAAAAAAACATAAATGCAATTGACAAGCACCTATTAAATTTAAGCCCCTTGGGAAAATGAAATGCCTAAATTTTGAGGCATGCCTTTTTCATAATCAGTGGAAAAACCCGGGGTTTCGGCCGGGCCCTTTACTTTTTGGGAAATTCGACCCTTTGGGGAGTTTTTTTTTTTTTTTGGGCAAAATTTACCTCGTTTTCGTGGGTTAGACTCCCTGTTTCGGGGGACCCGTCCGGTCCCCGGGCCGCGCATCACCACGCACACCAAACCCGTTTCCCACACCATTGCACTCCCGTGTCCATTGGGTTTTCCAAAAACGTGACCCCCACCCCATGGGTTTTTTAAAAATACATTTCATAATAATCCATTGTTTTTTTTTGCTTGCAACTGCTAAATCAGTCATCATGGACCCAAGGAAAGCAAGGCAAGCCCTTTGGTAAATAAAGTGAGGAACACGAATCCAGAGGATATTTTTTAAGGTTTGAAGGCAACCCTGTCCCTCCGACCCTCTGCCTGTGTGGAAGGGTGTGTGGCATTGGGCCAAGTCCATGGGTTGGAGGTGAGTGACGGGGATGAAGAGTGGTGGAGGACCACTAGGGAAGAGCTAACCACTGACGAAACTCCAAGAGCTCAACTGGAAACAGCATCAAACCACAGCCTAGGAACTTGCTCTGAGGAGGAAAGAGGAGGATATGTGCCACATCTCAAAGATTAAGGAGATTTGTGCAAGTGAATGAGTTGGCAAAGTTTTGAGGTTGAAAAGTATCATCACCCTTACCAAGCTGAAACACGCTATATCTGCAACATGTACAATGACAGTGTTGTGTCCCACTTCAGGAAAATCTAAAGAAATGCCAGAAAAAGACCTCTCTGGACAGGATATTTTGTGCGACAGCGTTCCCAGTGACTCAAGTTTGTTCCCAGTGAACATTAAAGAAGGGATGTAAACCCCAGATAAGGACTTGCTACCTAAAGATCCTATGGAAGGTGTTGCAACCCCCTGACATGGGTCACAATGTAATATGAAGATAAATTCTTTTGTAATCTAATGTCTATTACCTTTTCCATTTAGTAATTTTATATTGCTTATATTGCGATAATAGCTAAAAACGTGAATATAATTCCTTCATCATAATATTATTTGTCTTGAGTTTTACTTTTGTTAGGTAGGATGTAACATATTAGTGCTCCTAGTTCATGAACAGTCCCATGATGTCTAACTACTGTAATAATATCGCACTTGCTCATTACTCTCCCGGCTTCTTTGCTAGGCAGCAACTGTCCACGGAGCTATCACGTGATCGAGGGGGGGTGAACTCGGCCTCGCCCAAAGTATTCATTCTGGTCTAGACTCTCTTGGTGGAGTTGGAGACGTATTTCCTGACAAGTGCCAACTCTCCTCCCTTATTGGCAAGATCGTCTCTGTAGCTTATTCGTTGGTTCTGTGGACTCATTTCACAGAAATTGTAAACTTGGTGTTTTCGACATTGTAACTGAGGTTGTGGTGTCGACCTAGACACACTGAGTAACTCAGGTCCTGATCTGTAGCTTCTGTACCTAATTTGTACTGGTATCCTTGAATTGTCACAGTCGGGATTTTCTTATGCTGAACTTAGATTAAGTATATGGGATTTTGTGACTTTTGTGGAGGATCTGGCTGGGAGTCCACCTTAGTGTCGTTATATTATCCTCCCTTTGATCCTGATTGTGTCGCAGTTGTCTTGTTATATTGCTAATTGGGCCTTAGCATTCTTTTTATTTTCAAGAAGACTGTTCTGATTGCCAGTCGGTCAAGACTTAGTTATGAGGGGTAATGACTTTGGTCCAGTCGCTATTTGTTTAAGTCTAGACTACTGATCCGTGAGACATAGCGAACTACTTAAGGACTTACACACCACACACACACACAAACATATTTATATTGTATTATTAAATTTAATGTACCAGATGGTACTTTAGAACTTATAAATGTGATTATGTGCTTTCAGCACTAATAATGACTGTAAACGAGAAGAAGTTGATTATCTTATTTGTTGATATTGATTTAATTTAAATTTGATATATGCCAGACAACTTAATTATTAATAAATTTATTAAATTTTAATTTGAACTAGTTAAGTACCTACCAGTTGTATCCTGAAGCACTAATAATTCATATTGAATTTCTAATGGAATAGATTGGACCAGGATACTGACTAATGGTTACGAAAACCCAGTAACAGCTGGATGCTATAGAGGGCAGTCCTTTCTAGTATTCACTTGAGATCTCTAAGCTAATATAGAATCAGCTTTTTGTAACAAATGGGGGCCTGTCTGGGATACCTCTCTGATCCAAAGTGTTGGAAAAGCTGAGAGTTCCAGTTTTGACATAACTAGTAACTCCCTATGATCAAACACTTTGAGTACTTTCCAATTCTGACACTTTGATTTTTGTCTTTACAACATACTAGATGAGTATGTACTATGACTAAAGTCTCACTTGATCAAGGAGATGGAAATACGTATGAGCCTCTAGCTCTAAGAAACCAACACAAAATTCCTATTAGGATTATAGTTTCCCATACACACTCTCTCGTAGTACATTATTTTCCAAGATTGCGCCATAGTGAAATAGTTAATTTGATACTCTGACTTTGAGTTGAGTACATTAAAACTCAGACGTGTTGGCAAGTAGCCAAATATCTCGGTGTGACGTATAACATGAATTACACCGCAGTCAAACTTCAGAGCGTTAATTAAAGATATAAATGTTTCCCTGCCTCATACAGAGATGTCCTGATTATATTCATATCAGAAAGCCTAGTGTCACAATTATGGAAGAAGACTATTTGATATACTTAGAAGAAAGAGTAACTATGCAAAGTGTCCTACTCTCGTCTCTATAGATCTAATTTTGTTCCGCTCACGCTTCCCTCCTCACTGAAATAATAGTACAGAGTAAATCTGGTAGTATGACTCCGCCTCATACTAGCACCGAGTATGCTTCACCTGTATCTACTCTACCCTACCAGACCAGATCAAGACACTCAAGGGACTGCTGAACGAGTGCCCGACCTAAGGACCATCCAGACTCATTCATTTATTTCCCCACTTCCTCCATTACCTACTGTCCCTATCTCTCAGGAACAGTTTGAGAGGAGTGAACGCCTCATATGGTTTCAGACTGCACAAAAGAGGCACAGAGGAAATTGAACGAGATTACCAGAGAGAAAATATTCGTATTGGAAGACAACGGGTGGAGACGATAGATCACAGGACACGTTTAATGTGGCAGGAAGCTGCCATCAATGGTTCCTAAGTTTTTTGAGAGGTGAACCTAGACACCTAATTTACACACACGTGTTTGGAGAAACCAGGCAATGCTGGACTGGCCACATAAGCACTGGGCTATACCTTGTTGCAACACATCTTTGACAGGAAGAGCTTCGAACTTGTACTGCTGCTTACCATTTGGCCAGTACATTCGTTATGACGCTGTCACGCAAGCTATTCTAGAGTCTTATAACTTGTGCCTGTAAGTTATCAGTGTGGCATTTCATATGTTTACAACGACGCAAGAATCAACACCTTGTGTAGAGTTTGGCTCGTGATAAAAAAGTTGCAGTCTTGAGAGATGGTGTCGGTCAGCCAAGAGCAACAATACGAAACACAGACTCAAGTTCAGCCTTTTACTTCACGAAGAATTAAACAACTGTATGTCTGCAGACATACAAGAATATCTGATCGATCATACTACCCTCGGATATTCTGGAAACTGCAGCATTATCAGACAATTACGAGATTTCACACAAACATGTATTGCTAAAACACAGAGAAACAATGTAACATTGTCTAAGAAGTTGGCAACCTAAAACGAGACTGCTCAGTGCCCGCACTGATGTACCTGCTACTGTAACATCTCGTACCTTTCACACACAAAACTCGCAATCCTGAAACTGCTCTGTGGTTTAGACAGAAATTCTGATATCGAGAGGAAGAAAGGTTAAATGTACCTATTGTAACAGAAAAGGACATGCTCAGAGCGATTGGCTAGGATTAGAAAGAGATACGAGAAGCAGTAGTGCGGCCTGGCGCCCCCACACAAGTCGTATCCTCTTCCCGAGCAACAAAGGCACCAAATCCTAGTAATACACTCTGAACCACTGTTTTAGATAATATTACTCCCAGAACAAGATGACAAGCGTCAGAAAGTGTATCGATGAAAAATTCGTTCAGAGCGATGAGTATCCTTACTTTCGAGAGGTAAAGTAGGATATACGAATCACATCTAACAGAGATTAATTACTTTCAGAGACACTGGACAGTTTATCTCACGTTTAAGAGAATGATTACTGCCCATAACTGATGTATACCTATTGCAAGATAGGATGAATTGTAGAAGCCTATGGTGGGGCTGATATAACAGTACCTCTGCACAAGTTTACATTGAAACATAGCTATTATACTGGTTATATTTCAGTGGGTATGATCCAGTGGTGTATTTCCCATTAGGTCAGTGGACTTTTGATAGAGAACGATATCCTTCATGCTGGTATAATTAAGGAACCATTTTTTCTTGTGATTGATAATAACACTGATGATAATTATACCATTCTCCACTAGGGAAAAGCCTTGTAGAGAGAAAGCCTATTTTATTTCCTCTCAGCCGCAATTACTAGAGCTTATGTCAAATGATACAAGAACCATCCTTGTCACTCCTGTTGGAGTAGTTGATGACAATGATTTGGCTGAATATGTTGTTTTAGTGACGCTCTGTGCCCAGGTCATTAACATCGACTCCCCCCTGATCATCAACCTAGTCAGTACACAACCTGACTTAAATTTTCTAATCCTGAATTAATCAAGTGTTCAGTTTGCGTTGATCAGTCACTGATCTCAACTGAAAGATTATCGCAGTTACTGAGAGTGAAGCAAGGATCTCCGATAATTGTTACTAGAAAGTAACGGTGTACTCATGGAGAAAATACAAGTAAGTTTCAGCCTGATAGTGTTTCCACAAAGTCAAGCAACTCGTAGTGATACACAGTTACATTTCGTGAACCGGCCATTATTTGCTCACAATAGTCCCATTGGAGGACATTTGGGTGTCAAGAAGACACTCGTAAACTGGCAAAACATTTTACTTGGCCAAAGATGAAGGAAACAGTAGCTGTATCATGTGCGACGTTGCCACGTGTGTCAAGTGACAGGCAAGCCAGCGCACACACCTCCACCTGCGCCTCTCATTCCTATCACCGTGCATGTGAACCATTCTCACGTCTTATTATTGATTGTGTTGGTCCTTTGCCTAGAACCAAACTAGGAAACCAATACTTATTTACTATTAGGACGCTGCAACACGCTATCCCGAAGCTATTCCTATGAGAAAAATTAATGCTCGTGCTATTGTGAGAGCGCTGATGAAATTTTTCTCCCAGGTTGGATTGCCACGAGAGATACAATCAGATCAGGGATCTAATTCACTTCTAAGATCTTTCGAGAAGCATTATCCCACCTAGGAATAAAGTCTGTACTTTCAACCAGTTATCATCCACAGTCACAAGGGCTCTAGAGAGATTTCATCAACATGAAGTCCATGATGAGAGCTTATTGTGAACATTTTTCTAGAGACTGGGATGAGGGTATACCTTTTCTTCTGTTCGCTATGAGAGAAAGTGAGCAAGAAAGTCTCGGATTTAGTCCGTTTGAATTAATATTCGGACACCAAGTGCGTGGTCCTCTCGCAGTGTTGAAAGACGTGTGGACAGGAAAATCAAATCCATCATTGAGTACTTCACCTTCATTAATGCAGCAACATTGACAGCCGCTAGAGAGCTAGCTTCGAAAAACCTAGTTTCAGCCCAAGCTAGAATGAAGCAACATTATGACAAGCGTGCTGTCTCTCGTTCTTTTAAAGCACGAGATAAGGTGATGGCTCGGAAATTAGTACCAGGTCATGCTCTACAAGCCAGGTATGATGGTCCCCTGGAAGTAGTGAAAAAGCTTAGCGACGTAAATTATTTGGTACGTACGCCTGGGAAAAAGAAATCTAATCATGTGTACCATGTTAACCAGCTTAAGGCATACTACGCTAGTCCTCTACCTACTACTTCTATTCTTCCTAGGACAGAGGAAGAAAACGTCAGTCTACCTGACATCTCTAGAGGTATAGAGGTTCGTTTAGAAAATTTCAGTGACTCAACAATCACTAGACGATTTTCTTAGTAACCTTGGAGTGATAAAGCCGGTGATATTAAAAAAACATGATTTTGCATATCCCTGAATTGTTCAGTGATGTCCTAAACGTATTTACTCTGGGTGTACATACGATTGATGTTACAGGGCATCACCCTATAAGCAATCACCATATCGGATGAGTCAACAAAGCATAAAGCATTGAGAGAAGAGGTGATTTTCTGTTAACTCACGGACTTATTGAACGTAGTAAAAGTCCATGGGCCTCTCCCTAGTATTTATAGTGGCCTAAACCTACGGTAGTGTTCAGGATTGCACTGAATACAGGAAAGTGCACTCTGACACCTTGCCCTGATGTTATCCTCTACACGCTTGACGACCTTATTGACCGTGGTGTCAGGAGCCCAGTTTGTCAGCCGTTTAGATCTCTTACGAGGCTAAATCAAGACCGCATACTGAACGTGCCTCAAGAAATAACTGCATTTTACAGTTCAGATGATGTTAAACTACCTCGTCACCCCCTTCGCCTATGTAACGCGTCTTCTTCATTCCATCCCCACCCACAACGTTATAATGAACGATTTGACCCACAACCTTGGAAGGAAGTAAAGCCTACCTTGACGAAATTGAGTGTGGAGTACAGTGACGAGTGGGAACAGCACTGACGGCGTCTCCGAGCATTGTTTGAGAGACTGGCGCACTACAACTTCAACTGTTTAACTTAGGCTAAATGAAGTTTGGTTCAAGCCAAGATTACCTATCAAGGCTTTTTGTATCGCCCCAAGGTGAGGTTGCTCCTATTGAGGCTAAGGTTCGTTGCAATTCTGAATTCAGTGCCACAGGAAAGGAAAGGAGTAGCAGAGATTGCCTGGGTATGGGCAGGATATTATCGCAGGTTCTGTCCGAAACTTTTTCTCAGATTCGTCAGCTCCTCTCACGAGCATACTAGCAGCAAATTTTCAGTCACCTGGACTAATAATTGTTCAACACGTTTCAAAAGGATGAAGCACTGCTATCCTCTGCTCCAGTGCTGAAAAGTCCTAATTTCAATCTTCCCTTACATTTTAACATATAATGCGATTCCGTGGCTTATGCATTGTGTGCTGTCTGCCCAACAGTCACATCCACTGATAATCTCCATCCTATATGTATACTATTCATCTAAAGCTTAAACGACCCAGAAAAAATATGCTCTATTGAGAAAGAGGCACTAGCTCTTGAGTAGTCCTTGAACATTTGACGTGTATTTTGGCACATCCCATATAAAATTAATGCGTTTTTTTCTGACCACAATCCACTCACCTACATAACACAATGAAAAGTAAAAAATGCTAGGAACATGGAGGTGGGCCCTCAAATCCAACCATATTACTATTAGTATAAAACACATAAGTGGACATTGTAATGTAATTGCTGACGCTCTGTCCACGTCCTTAATAATTTATCAATTAACATTAAATTAGCGTATTTTAAGCCAAATACCTTTTGTTCTTGCCTATGTCAAATCAGTAAAGTAACATAATCCCTCCAGCCCATAATCACAATAATACCATTCCATGTCTAATTATAAAATTTTAATGATGCACAGTAATGTTGTGAGAGGAGGAGACAAGCTGAGTGTTTAGTGAGTAGTGTGGTGCGTGATGTACAGCGTGAGGCAACACTGTCCTGTCGCAGACCCCCCCTCCCTACACACCTTAAGCTGTTTCATCCTCAGATGTCAAACTGCCTCGCATTCCAACACCCACTACTTAAGAGTGGAATTCAGTCTCCTCTACAATGCTCACCTCAGTGCCCTCCTAGTCACGCATATCCTGTCTCTACACTGATGTATTAACCACGAGTATGAAGAAATACGAAACTGTGTACTGCCCTAGTCCCTAGGTGCATATCCTAGTGACGGACGCTGAGAAATTGTAGAGGTGCTTGGCACAATAGACATTCATTAATATTTATTATGATAATAATATTGGATATGAGTAACCAGAAAAAAATGTGAAAGACATTCATGCAACTCCTAAGTGCGACCCTCAGTCTTGTTGGGGAGGGTTGTTGCAACCCCTGAATGGGTTACAATGATTATTAGTATATATAATGTATATTACCTCATCATTTAATTTTATA